CAGTTAAGTAGACAGTGTAGGTTTAAAAGAACGGAGGCAAAAAACAACTACCCACCACGCAACGTTCTGCCTAGAGCGGTCACTGCTTACCGCTGCTGCAAGGTCTAGTAACGCTCCCCCTTCAATGCCAAAGTATGGACTGAACATCAGCAATCTCAGAGGCTACTCTACTAATAGCTGTCAAGCTTGAGGCATAACAAACACAAATGAGTTCTAAATAATAAACTGGAATGATTGTTATTAGGAGAAGAAAATAGTTATCAGACGAGACATGCCCTAAGTGCAAAGTCCATCGTCACCGACTGGGTTCGGACATTCAGCACCCACGCGTCCTATATTGTAGACGTTACGGCCGACATCATTGCCACTAAAAATATCGATTAGAAATTCACTGAAAAAAGCAAGAGAGCAAGAGAAAAATTGATCATTAGTTTACCCTGGACCATACATGCAAACTACAGAATAGTATTGTCCACAGTTCGCTGTGGCACATCCAAGCTGTTGGTTGCTCCACCATGCCATCTGAAAATCTCAGTTAAGGCGCAGTCCACGTGGTCCCATAGGCGGAGTCAGGCTTGCCAAGATTTTCTCGTTACTCCCTACCCTTCACTGTATTAGAACAGGATGCGGAAATAAGATGACACTATGGCAAGCCTGACTCCGCCCACAGAACCGGTATGTCTCTTTAGCATTCCTTTCACATTGTCGGGGCCTTCTGACACAGTAGTCAGGACAGGATAGCAAATAGGACTACGCTACAATGAGATTGATACAGCAGCACGTTTGTCTCTGCCGATACTGTCAGCGTGGACTGTGGCTTCAACATGCTCCTAATGGGTGAAAACTTTGAAGCGGCCGACGGCTGCCATGCTTGGCCTTACCACTGAGCCAAGTGAGCGGTGTTGGTCCGAAATCGGGTAAGATCACGTATTAAAATCGGTGATGAGACAAAAATATTAGTGAGAAAAGTACGACTGAGCTGATAAGGACTTCATTTTTTTGGCGATTCTTAAAGGCACTTTCCGCGATAAAATAAGGCTATGACCTTTCAAATGTGTCAGACGATCCGGAAGGAGATTGCGGAGGCTGCGCTACCTTTAGAAAGTGAAAATCGGCAAGAATTCCGCTTTAAGCTAACCAATTAGGCCCATGGGCGCCCCTTAGGCCCATGCCGACCCCAACCGGCTGCTAGCTACTAGCTAGTAGCCACTATACTATCTCTCTCCATTCCGAATGGTGAGAGTGAGGTGATAAGATAAAAGAGCTGATATCTTTATGATAACGACGAGTGGAATTCGTACAAACATGCGTTTTCTTCATTGCATGCATGTACAAGTTGTTGTCGCTATGGAATCCTATTTAGGGCATTCTCGGCTGTTTTTCCGCTGCTTTTCTCCGCTAATCAGTACTCAAGCCCTTCTTTTCTACTATGTGGCGTACCCGTTACCACAAATCTTGTGTCGCGGGCTTTGCTTTAAGTGAAGTCAGATGCACTCTATTCGAACCAGCAAAGCTCATACCTTTTTTCTGACTTCATTAGCTTCCCATAAGGTGTCTTCTCTTGACTCACCTTTGACCAATGTGTTACTACTCGTGTTGACGTCGTGCGTACCCCACTGGAGAACAGCATATCACTTCTCGTGCCATATCGTGCCAATTCACTCCACCAATCTGCCATTGCCTGGAAGCTTTGAGCAAATTCTGTTCAGCACCGTTTCCACTACACGCCTTTTCATAGTGTGCCCGACACAGGATAAGTTTTCTACATAAATGATGGAAAAATGGAAATTAGGAAAGCACTTGTGATATTTTGGGGCAGTTTTGATGGCTCATAGCGCATCACAGGGAGAATGCGATCACCTGCAGGATAGCTGGGCCCTAGACACATGACCTCCCTCCCGTCCTTCAAAGTGCTGGCTATCTCTTGAAAATTTTCTGATGGATAAAAAAGCGACTTTTCACGCCTTTTCAAAGCACTCCGCTAGATGCTGACTAATTAGGCCCATGGACACCCCTTAGGCCCATGCCGACCCTCACCGGCTGCTAGCTACTAGCTAGTAGCCACCATGTTATCTTTCTCTATAACATTTCGGACTGCTTTTTCTGCTGCTTTTCTCCGCTAATCAGATACTTAGCACTTTTTTGTGCCTATTTGAGTTCCGTTTCCCGCAATTGCGGTCGCGAACTGTGCCTTTAAGATGGGAATGAAATGCGTTCACGTGCCAATACCTGGAGTTGTATTGGTAAATCAGTGATTTAACTGTAACATAAGTTCGCGGCAAGAAGGGAGCGTGGCCATCTGGGGCTGGGCTCCCAGTGAGGTCAACTATGTGCGGCAAAGGGTGGTCTAGTGGGGGCTTCTCGCAGAAATGCAAAAAACCGCTTCACAAAAGAATCTAGAGGTGAGCTAATTCCTAGATCATAGTTGTTGGCCATTACCACTGCTTATTATCAAGTATCACTAGATATTGATTCCCGCTAGAGTGGAATATATGTACAGGGAGACCAATAAAAAGTCACTTTTCTTCATTGACTTTCGAGGCGCTATAAGTTACACTTTATTAAATTCTGATCGGACATTTCTACCACCATATTAAAGAGCATATTAAATACTATCATGTACTTAATTAAATAAATTAAATACTATCATATTCCGCCACAGCCTTCTGGACGAGCGCCATCGAGAGATTCTGGCACGCGACCGCGATGTGGTGCCTGAGATCAGCGAGATAGTCGATTTCTCCGCCACCGTAGACCACCCTATTGAACTCCGCCCGAACCGGGTAATTGAGGGGATTCAGGTCAGGTGACCTACTTGGATATTCCATCTTTTTTAGGTACTCAGCCCCTTCCATTCCAAGTAGGCGAGAGTTTCTCCAACGCCCTTCGATTCCATGTGGTGGCACCCAATGCTGTAGCAGTACAAAGTTTCCAAGAAGGTACGGGCGACGACATGTGAGGAGGATATTCTTCACGAGTTGCTCGATGTAACCGCCAGCGCTCAGTCGGGGTCCACGAAGAAAATATTGGTCTTTCCATTCCAGGTACGTCCGGTCCATACCATCAACCCGCGCCTTGGCGACTGTGGTGAAGATGATGTCCTAGACCGTGGCGACGTTGTCGGAGCTGCTCGATGTTGGAGGTCATCCAGATCGAGAGTACTGGTCTCCAGGTAGCTATCCATGGGTGACTCCATACTAGAAGTTTCGCAGCTGTTTGGAGGTGACATGAATTCCAAAGGTCTTCTCCAGTCGAAAGCCAGTTCCTGCTTATCGAGGAACATCTTGGGTATCTTTCGCCCTGGTACTTGCATTCATGTCCTCTGCCTAGGTAGCGAAAACTTTGCTGATATGTGATATGTGACTCGGTCGAAGTGATTTTTTTGTCCCTCCCCCCTGTAGTTTGGCGTTCAAATAAGATGTCTTAGTGCAAAAAGAATAGGGAAGCTTCCTCACTCAGCCCTTTACTAGACTATTATTCGTTCTTCAAAGACCTGAACAGTAGGAATCATAGCATACTAGCGATACAGCTGTGATTGACAGCCTCCTGTTACTATTTGCTGCTCACCATCGATGTCTACCACCCAGGGCACAGCATTCGATGGGGATTTTGGTCGAGCTTTTACGACCCCCCCCTTTTTTTCAGGGGCTGGTACGACCCCCCCCCATGCTCGTACGATGGCTGACATGGCTGACTGTGGTTGTGGTTTATACTCGGCGAAAAAGTTGTCGAGGGAGGAGGGCGGGATGTAGTAAAACGTTATGACAGCTCATAAGGAGCATATGCTATAGGGCATGCGAAACAGATTCACAAAATGTGCTACGAATACATCGTGCGGCGTAATAGTACCTGTACACAGACAATGATTCATAAAACCCATTGAAAGTAACACACGAACTCTTAGCCAGAATAGACGCTGCTCTCAGACAGACGGCCAAATATGCCTCGAATTCTCTCGCCCCCATTTAACAACGTCCGCTAAAGTCCCAGAAATCAAACTTATAGATAGAAATTTTTCCCAGCCCAAAATACATGCCCCCCCTCTCTCTCCCTCCAAAATGATTGCGAAGAAGGACCTCAAAAGCTCAAAGTTTTTCCCTCCCTCCTCTTTTATTTTGGCGGCTAAATACGTATATCCTCTCTCCTCTCGATAGTGTGATATCTCCACTCCTTATTACTCCATTTGGCATGTGCCTGTGCTACACCATTTCCCCTGTCGCTCTGTCAATTCCTGATGCCACTAAACTATATTAGGTTGTTCGACAAGTTCCTGCCGACACTGTAATAGTTTGAAGACCGTATTTCTAGAAAAAGATCAAAAACTCTCATTTGAATGTGTCTATCTTTGATAGTGGAGACTGTTTCCTGGGGTTATTTCTGAACCAGTATTGGGTCTCATCCTCGCTCTCCGCTGAGTATATTCGCTTAAGCAAATATCTCAGAGATTGCGAAACATGTGCAGGTACTTCTCGACCTATCCCACTATATTATGGAGTTCCTGTAGGGCAAATCTCCGCCATAGTATCATGTGAAGCTACAACTGTACGTTGTCTTTGTGAGCTTCACATGTTATATCGCCTTTGCGTCAGCTAGACGTTCATTTATTAGCCTCAGCGTTCCATGTCTGACTTATTCAACTCGAGGGTTTGACTGCCTGCCAATAGGTATAGGTGTTCGGCACAACACAGTATACCTGAGCGGGCCTTACTTCATAGCTTCTTAGCAGGCGCGACGGCGTGCTCCTTGCGAATGCCGCCGCCTCCGTACTAGTCGTAACCACCAGGTAAGTTGGCAAGTCTTCTCGTAGGTGATCCACCTAACTGCACACTGCCATGTTTACTCCGCAGTCTCGGTGTTATCGAGAAACTTTGTTATATATGAAGCGATGCCTCATGAGCTCTCGACCCTCTGACAAGCTCCATACACGAATGACCCCTGACGTTTGTGACGCCTCTCTTCTCTGTCCTTGTACACACTGGAGGACACATTTGTGTGATTACTTATAGGTTATTGGGAGTAGGAGAGTGGTGGATGGGTCTTCGTATTACATCTTGCACATGTTCCTCGCAGGATCTCTCAGAGAGAAAAGTAGATTGCACAGCCAAAAGTAGATGTGCATGGGATAAAGATTTCAGTAGGTTATTCGTGGGGAACTATCAAGCGTGGTATCTGATACAGCCACAACGTAAGGACTACAGTTCACTCTAACCAACTCACACAATGGAATGACGTCACGCGATTCTTCAAAACAATGACTCTAGCATTTTTTCTCAGCTCGGCAATGCGAAGACGCAGATGTTCGGATCAGGCCTCCAACACCAAAGAATCGTGTGGTCTTTATTCGTTGAGAATCGACGACTCCTACCCAGCTTAATGGCACTCGAAGTCACGCGCTCGCTTTAACTCACTTACTTTTTATTTGTTTCCCTATGGCATCCTTAGAAGGCAAAATTCCGAGAATCGAGTCAATCAAAAATTGAGGTCACTTTTCTTTCTCATCAATAGATTGCGACTGTAGTTCTATAAGATGGAAATGAAAAGCTGCTGAAAATAAGGTGCACTAGTTCCTAGTCCGTAGTTGGTGATTACCTTGATAGATTGGATTGTTTTAGTTGACTGAAAATTATTAAGTCCCGAAAATTTGATCACAAAGATGTCGCAGGACTTTTCGGAAACAACCTATATATTTAGAATTTTACAGTTTTAAAATTTTGCTGCAATTGTTCACGATCTACTCATCTTTAGCAACGTTTATCACTTTCTTCGCTCTCATCAGATATTGATAGCTTTTTGCCATGCCTTCTAGCTGAGACATTAATCGTGCTATACAATCCTCTAGTAAGTCTCATACCTGTTCGCGAGAGCATTAGTAACGGCTTTGATGCACTTATACATTATTTAACTACATTTTTACTCTCTGAGATTTTCTTTCGTTCATCTGAGTGATTATATATATCATCAACATATTGGCATACCAAACAAGTGACAATAGTTTCCTGACCAAGAGTCTTCTCATGGACAGGTATACAGAGCCTCTGCTCATCGAATTAATTCTCACGGTAAGTAGTGCTGCTGTCGGTGTTGCTTGAGTATTTCTGTAAAAGTACATATTCGTCTTGTATCCTGGACGTCCACTCGGTGGCAGCTGAAGCATTCTGCAACTGCTGGCGTGCTGTTGGGCGTACGATTCAGCATCACAATTGTATACCTGTAGTACACTTGACCTTTAGAAGAAGCTTTGAACGCTGTGCAGATATTCTCCAGCTTCTCTCTTCTTGTAACCTCGGCATGTTAGTTTCAATAATTCAGTGTTATATTGTGCCTCACGAGGTTTTTAGGTGGAACTATTTATTCAACGGCCTGACGTTTCGACTAATCGTCTTCTTCAGAGGCCTAAAAGTGTTTCGAGATTAAGGAGATGTGCACTACCCGCCAAGCGCCCAACCCACCCCAGCATTCGATGACATAGTGAAACTCAACCGAGAACACCAACGACAACACGAGCGCTCACCTTTTGTTCACACGTAAGGCGGAATATCGCTATTCCATAAGTCAACCAGTAGCGAATGAGACTTACTACGTACAGCGTCTCCTTATACTTATCGATACGCAGAAACGCACGTAGCACTGGTGACTTTATAGCTCGCAATACGGAATGAACGACAGGAGGTCATTGGAAATTGACGGCCGCTCGTCTCGGTTGTTCAAACGAGGATTTCTGACAGAAATCCAAAATGCCTCTAATGCCTTCCTAGCCGCAATCTCCGTCTCCCGCGCCAATATTGTGCACTTTATCGCAAAGTTGTCGCCGTTGTGCACCTCAGCTTTATGCTTCCCAAGCGCTGTTGTAAGAATACCGCGCCTCATGCTGGCTAGGTGTTCTTTGATACGTTTAGCTAGCGGTCTTCCTGTCTCTCCGATATAGGTGCATTCACATGTCCGGCATGTATGGGAAGCATAAAGCTGTGCAGATATATGCTAACACATCTCGAGATTAGATTGTCTATATATGCTAGTTTGACTGGCGGATTTATCAATGTAGACAGTTTTATATAACATTTCGCAAAAGTAAATCAAAAATTGTAATCCAACACTCCAGTGATTTGAAGTCTTGAACTTGTTGTATTTGTCCCATCACGTGCTAATCTCAATTTCGTTTTCAGTCTTTTAACATTTTAGTTATACCTTCATTACCGATTGACTACAGGAGACATTCAACACTTCTGAAGTTCTATCTGGCACTCCGCTCTATATAAAAGGAGCGCGGGCAACGAACATTCATTCTTTCGTTTCCGCCATTACTGAGAACATCCCTATTTAACTGATGATCTGATTGTTTTTTTTTGAAAAAAAGCTGTCATAACGTTTTCCAAGTCAGTTGTGATTCTCGTCTTTTTGATCAAATCAAACATCTCAAGGTAAGTGTTGGTTTTCAAGTTTTCAAGTTCATCGCGTGGCTGAATTTCAGTGATCCATAGGCGAGCAAAACCAACGAAAGTTGAAAGAAGGGTGTTTCCAAGAAGAAGCGTATTCAGCCTGCTTCCGGCTCCCACGCGCCATTAGCCGGAAATTACATACCATGTGTGTCAAATCTTATAGCTCCTTGAGCTATCACCAAGTGATCGGTTCTAAATCTGGAAACTTTGCTGAAAGCTATCAGAAGGATACGCAACGAGATCCCGTGCCTATTATTTTTGGGCAACGTTAGCAGTTATTATGACAAGAGGGTCGCTTGTTTGAGGACAGCATTCTGGCACAGTCCAACTGATGGGGTCAAGAGAGAGGAGGTATCCTGCCCTTCCCTTTTTTCTCCATGGTCATGAAGCCATCAAGTAGAGATATGGAAATCTCGTGAAGCCGTGAAGTGGGCCAGTCAAAATTTGTAAAAACTACTCGTCAGCTCTTGTAAAGATATCCGTGACTTCTGTATAGCGACCCATACGACGACAGGAAAAGCGAAAATTGAAGAAGTCCCCCCCCAGCCGGACTGCTACGACATTGGTCTACAACTCGGCAATCTCGTGATCACATTCCTATCTGGCCAAAAAAGTAGTGAAAGTATTCATCGGTGACGTCAATCGGACCACTGCGCCTTCGTTATTCCCGCACTCCCCCCCCTCGCCATTGTACAAGGAAGGACCTTCCAATGAGAAGGGTATAGTGACCGGACTGACCATGCCTACTTAATGAGCGTCGGAAAATCTCTTCCAAGAAAGTAAACCAATCTGAAGCCCACCTAAGCTCAAGTTAGGGGTCTTGCTGTGAGTATAGTGTGTGCAGACAGTAGTCTCACACATTCAGTGTATCTCCTACCTCGTAAGCAGTGTGAAATTGTGAACTGACAAGGCCTGCATGAAAGTACTTCCCAAAAGTACTTCAATTGGTTTGTTTAGTTTCTTTTGAAATAACGGTTTACCATGCGGAACATGTTCGTCGCCGGTGGTGCAAGACTTCGGTAAAAGTATCGTCTGAGGTTTGGATCATTTCCAGCAGTTCGATTCCCATTTGACTCCATTTCTCCTCTCGCTAGTCTGGATCTGAAGAAAGGATGAACCTTATTTGGAGTTATTGAATTTTGTACTGAACGATCAGGATCCCCTTTACCTGCGTTCGTTGTGTCCATTGAGGGCCATCTGCCTCATGATGTTATCTTGTTGGGGATTGCCGCAGGTTGGTCCTTAAATATAATTACAGGTCTGTCGTCGATCCATATCATAACAGAGGCATATAAGCCCAACAAAAGCATAAGCGCATCCACGTTAATCTCACTTCCAGCCTCGTCAAGAAGATCTGAAAAGCGAACGTTCAATTTGTTTGACCGATAACATTTATCTGTGAAAAAATCTGATGAAGATTCAGTTTAATAATGGGTGTTGTTAACTTTAAGAGGAGGCGGGGGATCCCGCTATCTTCAGTATCCCCACCCTAGCATGACCTGCTGGCTCTCGTAAACCTACAACATGGAATGAGCTTCAATATATGGAGCTGTGTCAGCATAACGAGACGTTACCGATCTCATTGTAGAGGTGACCTAACAAAACCTTCCCCCCCCCTCCATTTAAGCGAATAGCGATGAGTGTTGTTCTCGTACAAGAGGAGTAAAAATAGTTGAGCTGCAGCACATTCTGCCTGGGGCAAACCGAGCCTCTAGGCCCCTCTTCCATCTCCCAGGGCCATATTTTGGTTCTCAGGTGGGCTCTGAATCCTGAGAGCTCGAAAATGTGGAGTTTAA